CCCCATCTCTCTGATCTGCTACAACCGTATGTCCCACCACATTCCCTGAGGTCAGCAGACCAGTTGCTCCTCACAGTTTCAGGAACTCGTCTTAAGCACAGAGGTAACAGGGCCTTCTCTGTAGCAGGACCAAGACTTTGGAATGAGTTACCTCTGCTTGTCAGACAGGCCCCCTCCCTCTCCGCTTTCAAGTCCCGTTTAAAAACTCACTACTATTCAATAGCTTTCAACACCAGATGATCTGTGTTTTGATCCTGTATGCTCCACACAGGTTAGTCGTCATATTTATTATCTGCATCGTTTTTATGTCTATATTCTGATTTACTTCATTTTGTATTTTGCTTTGTGCGTTACCTGTTGTTCTGTCTGTACAGCACTTTGGTTGGCCTTGTAGCTGTTTTAAGTGCTCAATAAATAAAATGGTATGGTATGGTAAAAGTTCAAGGGGGCCAAATACTTTCGCAAGGCACTGTATAGACGTAGCAGCACACAAAAATGAAAGCCAACCTTTCAGTCTTATTTTTCCAAATTGTCCAGATTACAAGATGAACAGATTGGCGGAGGTCATTTCCAATTCCCCTCTTCGCTCTGTGACGGGGACTAGTAAAGTTGAATTTGTGCACCCAATTCTTGACTTAAAAAAATTAATTGTATCATCCAGCAGCACTGAATCCCAGTCGACGGCCACTATCCTGCATATTTTACATGCATCTCTGCTTTGAAACACCTGACTTGAATAAATGAGTGACAAACAGGATTCTTCAGAACCAAAACATGCAAGAGTGGCCCTCAAGGACCAGGATTGGGCATCACTGCTACAATCACTCCAACATGGAAGAGAACTGATCAAATCACTCAGTAAAAGACACAAAATTCATTTATGCACATGCTCATGATGACAGAGGGAAAAGAAGGGCAGAACAGACATGAAGAGACTCAGCAGCTTGCATTGCCACCAGCAAGACTTTCTTTAATGGTGTCAAATCAAAGTGAAATGTGTGACACCGCCACCATCACTTAAAGAAAACAAACATGGTGGAACAATAAAAAGGTAAAATAAAACACTTTTTACCTCCCCTTCCTTTAACACAACTTGTGAAAGCAACTTGAGAACTTAATTCACAATGCAAGAACGATCCACAAAAAAAAAAAAAAAACACTTTTCTATCTTTTCATTTTTTTCAGGTAGTTGACGTGACAGCACAGCATGGTCAAATGGTTCAGGGATAACCTTTGTCCTACACAACACATTCACAGAATCTTTCCTGGTTTAAAAAAAATACTCAAATAAATCAGGAAACAACTAAAATCCTTGGAAATATTAGAAGTGCCATTCAATAAAAAGTCTAAAAATAAATTAAAAAGTGCAAATGGCACGATCAGTCCTACTTGGCTGTCTGCTGCTTCACCGTGATCAGCCCTAGAACCTTGTAAACACAACATCGTCCAAATATTGACAAATAAAAGAACAGCACACGTCTGAAAAAACATTATGCTAGCTACATCGATAAAAAGTACGGATGGAAACCCAACATTAACACTTGGCACTTAAGAACTGAAATTAAATAAGCAAAGGAAACATTCCTCAGCAAGATAATGTACATTGTTGTAAACAAAATGTCGGCCAGAGGGCACGATAATCAACAATCAGTTTGGGTTCTGTTTGGCGTAACAAGCGTATGAGATGACTCCAGTGTTTCACTTTTCCCTTTTTAAGTTCTGCAAGAGGATTCAACATGTGAGACCCTTTTTGTTTTTGCCTTCCAATACCGGAGCAACTTTTATAAATCATACAAACGAAAACCAACGGGTGAAGTCGCATTGAAGTATAATCCTAAGATGGGGAGGGGAAAAAAAAAAGGTGATTTCTGGATATTAAAAAGAAGAACTGCAAGGCACTGTTAACATCTGCAAATTACGGTAACGGTTAGTTACCTCGACATCATTAAATCTAAAGAACAGTGTGGCCTAACGGGTCAGAATTTGGTCCAGAACTGAGACGTGTCTGCAGCAAACAAGTGAACAGTAAAGTAACCTTTTGGCAGTGCCAAGTTCAATCTAGCAGTATTTTTTATTAAGGGCAAAAGCACATGTGCTTCGTCCACTTACTGATAACTTGGAGACTATTATTCCTGTATTAAGAGACTATACTGTATCTGAGGAGCACAGCAAACGATTATCTGCTCAATATCACTATTTCAGAATAAATGCACATTGTCGAACTGAAACAATACAAACAATCACTGATTAGGTTAATGCTGATATCAAAACAAGAAGCTTTACATTCATGTATCTCTTACAGGGCTTAACTTTACAGGTGAACGTTCGAGTCACATCTGGACTGAAAACATGCCTGCCATCTTATAAAACGGTAGATTCATTGGAAATCAAACACCTGGGTGGAAGTTTACTGTTGGAAGAAAAGTGGCTGTTGGAGGTGGGGGGTGGGGGTCCACACTGACATGATGTGATGCTTGATGGCTCTTCAGCAAACGTTTGGCCAAAACAGATTGTACAGAACTCCTTCAAAATAATAGTTCTTGCAGAAGAACCGCACCTCCTCCAAACAAAAAGAGACAAAAATCCTCAGAAGAAAGTACACGTATCCATGTTGTGTTTCTGTCTGTGCTAAGTGCAAAGAACTTGTCAGGGTCTAGTAAACCTAAAAACAACCCAGAGGGGAACTGACGGCAAAATACAGAAAGACGGATCCAAGTTCTGTTGGACGAAAAGCGTCACTTTTTGAGGGGCTGGTAGATGGAGGCGTTGGGGTCCAGGGAGGAGGGACTATTGTCCATGAACTTGGAGGAGTAGTGGGGGGTGACAGGGCTGAGGCTGCTGCCGTCTGAGGAGTAGGACAGGCTCGGCATGACAGCCATGACCTCTGCTATCTTCTGCTTCAGCTCTGCGATCTCCTGCTCCCTCTGGTGGATCTGGCCTGAACGAGACACAGGAAAAGAAGGTTTCAACAGAGTTTTTTCATCCCAAAGTACATTCTGACTAAATCACTGGTATTTTATACCTTTCTAAAGAATGTTGTAAACCACTAGAGAATTAAAAAAAGCTAAAGAAATAAAACTAAATAAGGCAGAGAACTTGATAAGGCCAAAGTAAATGTTCAAATGTTAGTAGGTAAGTAATGAACAAGATGATGTCCTCCCGTCACTGGGGGTTTGAATGGTGAATGTTGGTAGTTTAAGAGATAAGTGTTTTTCTGGACTGGAATTGAAAAGTAAGTAAACCTGAATGTTTTTGGTGTGATATATAAAACCATTCTTACGCCTACATATAGCTATAGAGCAAAATGGAAGTCGTACCTCACTTATTTTTCAAGTTATCATGCTCACAACATGCACAGATGGAC